CTGGTCATCTTTGCAAAATGCCCTTGCTGCTGAAAACGGAGCCCAGGAGGGCTTGGTGCATCCCTCCTGGGTTCTGTTCTTGCCGGCAAAGGCTTTTTGCAAAGACAATCAGAGCCTACAAGGAGAGCAGGGCGCACTCACCCCGCTCTGCTTTTGGAGTGCCTGGAGCAGGCAAACCGTGGCAGAGAGGAGACAGCTCGCTAGATCTTTGCAAGTAAGTGAGACCAGCCATGGTAGGATGGGAGGGGGGGGGGAGTGAAGCAATTGTGGGAAGCATGAAATAAGTCAGTGGGTTGAGAGAGTCTTTGGGTGGCCTGTTCCATCACTAGGCCCCTCATGGCCATTCCCACCCTGAGATACCTTATACACTTAACGACCCGCACATTCGATATTCAGGATACTGAATGTGCTTAGAGCTCAAAGCATTGTTAGAGACCCCACACACCACTTAATGGTCTGCTTCTGTTGCTCCCTTCTGAGAGGAGCTTTTGAAGGACTACTAGATTTTGTAACAACTTTGTTCCCTATGTCATCCATCATGTAAATTCACAGAATTCTTTTTTCTCATCATGGATACATCTGAACTCAACTGTGTTCTCTGTATCATGTATGTTTTTGTATGTGGATATATGTATAATTTTTTGTCTTGTATATTGGAGGTGGTTACCCTTTGAAAGCTGAATGCAACAAAATTTCATTTTATATATATACTGATTAGTTTACACAGTACTTTTTTTCTAAAAAAAAAAAAAGGTGCTGGAACTCACACAAGTCATACAATCCACCTTGCCTACCCTACAAGGTTCCAGCCAAAAAAGGTGCCGGAATTCTGTTCTGGGCGTTCTATGAGAAAAAAAGCCCTGAGTTTACATTTAAAGTGACAATAAAAGTTATTCTATTTTATTCGATTCGATTAGTGAATGTATGGCTGAAAGCCGGAGTTTTCACGTTCATTTTACATGATTTACTCCAACGAATCTTTGGTTTACGAATGTAATTGACAGGCTCCATTACATTCGTAACTCAAGGATTACCTATATACCTCTAGTTGCAGTGTGGAATTTACTTCCAATGTGGAAATAAATCCAATTCAAAATTACATGTGGTAACATTATGTAACACAAGGATGAATATCATCTGTATTGTATGTAGAGTACCGAAGCCATTGTATCAAAACACTTCCAAAGCCTTGAGATGTTTTACATCTACTAATAATTCATGTAACTCATTATCAGAATTTTTTTTACAATGATGCCAAAGCTGGCAGCAGAGCACACTGGAAGTAGCTATTATTTATGAGTCTAATGGAGCACAATGACAGAAATAGCAGCCAGTGTGTTATACTCTCACCCATTCAGGTACATGTAGTTGTGGATAGCATTGAAGAATGCTTTAAATACTTTAGATTTTGAATAGTTTATAAACTCAGCTTTTCAGTATTTTGTGTAGAGGAATACCGAGGTAGCCTTGAAAAAATTATGCTGCGGGTGTAAGAAAAACAATCTAAAAGAAGAGGAGATGGGAAAAAATTGAAAGATTTCCCTTGTTTGACTCTCCTAGATATAAGAGAGAGAATGAGACAGAATCTTGAAAACCTGATAGTTTCTCTTTAATTATACCTGTACAACAGAGTTCCAGTTCATGTGAGATCTTTTTCTGGTTCTGGCCACCTGAAAGAACAGATACCTGGTTTGGTTGTTGAATTTCTAGATTTAGGAACTGAGGCATAATCAGCTTATGTTTACTATTGCCAAAATGTTTTGAATTTTGATGAAGGAAAATTATTTTGAAATTGTTTCTGGAATATTACTAAGTCAAAATAGAGCAAAATATTTCCTTAACTATTTATGGAAAGAAGAATGTAAGATTCTTGAAAACATTACTTTAATGACATTATTGAACATTGCTTTACAATATTTGATATGTATTCTTACTATAGTAAGCTGAAAAAAATTATTTTAATCAGAGTAGTTTGATTCAGAAAGTCAGATCTTTGCGTATTAAACTGGCATACAGGAAGTTGGATTCATGTATAAAACTGCTTTGTTCCCTCTTAGGCTGAAACCAGAATTCAACAGGTGGTCATATTTCATTCAAAGTGACAAGCAACAGATGATCTGTTAAAAATAAGCCAAGATCACATAATAAATTGCCATGGTGTGATTTAAAATCCAGTTCTATTCAGGTAACTGCAGATTTACAGCAATTGTGGTCAAAAACAAAGGGGCATGTCCATGGGCAAAAGGTGTAAGCCATATTTTTGGCTTAAACACATAAGAAATAATTGCCTGAAATCTTGCCATTATGCACTATTTTATGAAATAGGAAAATGAAACATTATAGGATTTTTCTGGTGAAACAATAGAAGCATTTTTGTTTTCAAGTATTTTATACTTTTGCATAATAAGTCGTATACTATTTTAATAAATATGCTGCTCTGTAATGAAAGAACTGTACGTTGTTTTTGTCACAGTCCTACTAACATTTTCCTTGTGCTTTATTTGAACATTTTTTGTTTTAGTTTAAAAGCAGTCAATGTTGGCTGGTTGGGGAATTCGTAGAGTTGGTCCACGCATCTTAAATTTGCTGAGGTTGTGATACACTGTCCGAAAGCATTAATATGGAATGTTGTAATACAACCTCACGGCTGTTTTCTATTTAGAGTTCTCGTGATGCCACCAAATTACCTACGATGCGGGAATGTAGTAAAACCAATTACCAGTGGCAATTTGGTTAGAACTCAACGAATATAAAAAGTCTCCTTAAGCAACGGAAAAGAGACGTTGGCGCAGAGTGGTGAACATCCGGGAAACGCGAATAAAATGGGTAGGGACAAAGACAGAAAGACTACAGGGCGTCTCTTTAGCCCTCTGCGAAATATTATCCGCGATTGTTTCCGGCATCTTGCGCCGTATCTAAGAAACCGAGTAGGAGGGACTGGTTCAAACCATAAAGTAAACTAGACGGGGGAGTTTGAGTTCCTTTTTCCCCTAATACCTTTAATAAACAATATGAAAAGGGTTTCCTAACAGAGAATATATATTTTCTGTACATTATCTTTAATTTTTGCATCCGACAAATATACATTCAAGCAATACCGCTTTCTCTTTACTTAGAAAATATAAAAGCATCAATTAGCTTTTACACGATCTAGAACAGCCCCGTAGGAGGCAGGTCTCGGTCTTGTACATTAACAAAGCGCTACAATTCATTTTCCTACTTTTCGCCTGTCTTTGTCGCTCGGGTGGAGTCATTTCTTCTCGCGAAGCAAGTACAGTATATGCATTTTAAAATTTTATTCTCCGGAAACAAGCCTATACATTTTTTTCATCCCCTCCCCCGAGGTTAACTGAAAGGGGCTGGAACAGTAAAGTAGAACAACGGGTGTGAACGAGACACCTTTGCTTGTTATTGCCCTTGTTTTCTGAAGGCTCCTGAAGATGTCAATTTGCGCCTCCCCCCAATTCCTCTGAGGTTCTGTGGCTCCAGGTCGTACGAGTGAGTTATAATGCAGCGAAGAATAGAACCTCAGCCTACAAAAGCAATACTTCTTTCGAATAAGGGTTTGTCAGCACTTCTTTTCTGACGTTCAACAAGCAGGTTTACGACATAAAATAGTGCACTTCTCTTTCTGCATTTTGTGCATGCATATACATATAATGCTCTTTCCCGCCAAAACCTCTTCCTTTTATATCCTCTCCCCGCTTCTTCCTCTTTTCTCTTCCGGGCGCACCGCCCTCCGGCCTCTTGCAGACGTCAGGCGTCAGTCTCTACCCGGCCGTTGCCCTCAGCGCCAATCAGCTGGAGCTGCGCGCGCTGATCCCCGGGTCTCAGTAGAGCCTCGGCTGACTCCCCTCTCCCTCTCCATCCCAGGCCTATACACTGCCGCCGGCGACAGCGGAGACAGCCAGAGCTCAGGAGTTGCACATCCCGCCACCGGCGACAGCGGAGGCTACCGGAGTCCGGATTTGCACCAGCTCCACCTGCAGAGCTTGGGCACCGCTGCGGCCGCTTCAGCTCACCCCCCCTCCCCGCCTATGTATATGTGTTGTGTAAGATTCCTCTGCTTTATTTGAATCCCAGACTAAAAACAGAAATAAAGGCTCTTTCCTTATAATTGTCCCAGTTACATGACATGGAAAGGAAAAAAACTTATCAGGCTATTTCTTTAACTGATTTTACAGTACTTGGTTGTGGCCTCTCCATGGTTTCCGTTGATTAAAAAAAAAGACTTTACAAAAAATGTTCTGTACCACTTTGTTGCATCCATTTGGTTCCTGACTTAAGTTTCGTTTCTCCTGAAAAGCTTACCTGCCTGCCTTAGGTTTCGTTTCCTGACTTAAGTTTCATTTCTCCTGTTAAGCTTACCTTGAAGTAGTACCTCCTTGACTTAAGTTTCCTGTTCTTTGTGTATGGCAATGAAGAGCCATCCCCCTATTGTCCTTTTGTACACCCCCCCCTTGATTATGCTAATGTACGAATAAAAGGGAGGCACGGAGAGGCTTGAGGGTCTTTGCCTGCCATCTCACCTGAAGAAGCATGTTGCCCGTGTGTTTCCTGATCTAAAGCGAGGCCCGTTGGTTTCCCACACCACTTTTCTTCATCGTAGATGATTGAATAAACTTTATTTGGCTGGATTCACACATGCTATATCATCAGGCATTATTTACAAGCCATAGTAGCTGGATTGATGCATATGCTGAGCAAAAAATACCTAAACCTCATTCTTTCCTAAAAGGTATTAAGTTAGGGTGGTTTTCTTTTCGGTGGTTGAATGGCTATAATGACATTGAGTTCTCTTGTTTCCCAAGTTGAATTGTGATGTGTTGCTGCTTTCTGGTTGGAATGTGTTTGGGGGCAATGTTTCTGGATTTCTTGGAGCTTCAGTGTTCAAAGTTTGTACTAAATTAACCAATCATCTGTAATGTATTCATAATTCGATATTAATTCTTAATATGGCAAGCTAAAACCAGGTTGTTTTTCGTTTTAAAGGTGTCTTTTTCTAACAGAATCTCTGTTTCCAAACTGATGTATGCCATATAGTTTTCATTATGGAGAACTTTATTTTATATGAAGAGATTGGAAGAGGGAACAAGACTGTTGTTTATAAAGGCAGAAGAAAAGGAACTATTAATTTTGTGGCCATATTGTGTACTGATAAATGTAAAAGAGCTGAAATCACAAACTGGGTAAGAATTACATATGTTATTTTTGGAAGATATCTTCATTTACAAACATTAAGAACTTATTATAAAATATATTTATTTCACCCATTATATAATGTAAATATATTTGATTAAGATATCTTGATCTTGAATCAAAGCAAATTTAGGATAGAAACTTTAATCACAGTTTTTAATTGAAAGCTTTTGCTGATTTTTAAAAATAATCTCACTTCTCTATGCAATTTTGGTCAGACAGGATGATTTTCATCCAAAATAGACACTTGAAATATGTTATAGGAAAAAAAACCAATCTCTTTTCTGTAGTAATTTCAGTTTATGGTAATACTATAATTTCTATTGTTATGGATGATTACACATTCAGCCAGATGTTTAGACCGGAATTGCCATTTTTGTCCCTTTTGTCCACAAACCTCAAGAACCTGGGATAGGCAGGTGTTATTTAATAATATTAAAGAGTATCATCACTGGATGTAAGCTGTTCCAAATAAAGGTACCTTTTGCAATTGACGATTTTGTTAATGTCTATTATATTACTGCAATCTGTTCACAACAATGTGAAGTCACACAGCTGCCAGTACTTCCGCTAGTATTGGCCTTTATAAGGCAAGTTCTTCCCAAGAACCTCCCATCATAATGTATGAGTGTTGTGTATGTGCGGATCCAAAAAGTGTAGCCTTTTGCAATTAACAGATGGAAATATTGTCAATGTGCAGTTTTTATAAGTGGCGTCCAAGATTTTTGGGCATTCCACCCAGTGTGCCAAGAACAACTGGGACCACCACAGGCAATTTATGTCATAATCTTTCAGTTTTGATTTTCAGATCTTGCTACTTTTTGATCTTCTCCAATTCTTTGCGTTTTGTTCTACGATCATCTGATATCGCCATATCAAATATTTTTTTCTTTTTCTTTTCCACCTTGGTTAAATGGTATGTTATGAGCCAAGGCTTTATCAATCTATATTGAAAAATCTGACAATATTTCAACCTGCTCATCTTCAATTATTTTTTCAACTCTGTGTTCCTACCAATTTTTAATTAGTGGCACATGGTAATTTTTATAGATGTTTTAGTGAGTCAGTTTGACAACTGCATTATGTCATGTATAGGTCAGTTTGTGCAATCTTTTTGCAACAGCTGAGTAGTTTTTTTTTCTTTGTCTCTTTGAGCAATCTGTACTTTGAATCATTTTATGATTTTTTAAATCTGCTCTTGATTGCATTTATTTGAATAGCTGGCTCTTGTGGATCCAAAATCAAGACTTTATATTTTTAATGTTCCAGCTGAAAGTTATTGCCAGCTATTATAATTAATTCATTAAACTGAATGATAGTGAAAACTATCCAGTTACAAAAGGGAATATGGGGCAAAAAAGATGATGGCTGTTTCTCAAGCAAACTGAGATTACCCTTGGTTTTCAGAGTTTCCTGAGATTTGCTAAGTGCAATTGCATGTATACATTTAGGCATTCCTGATCCAACTATATGTTGCAGTGAACAGAATTAATGCAGCTTCTATATGTTGCACAGTTTAGTAGAGTAGTTTTTACATATTTGAATTCATGCTTTCTTTTTATATGCAGTTGTTTAACTATTTAGAGGAAGAAAACAGAATTTTAGAGAATTCAAATTGATTCAAGCCTACTTTAATGTTTATCTATTACAGGTACGTCTAACTCATGAAATTAGACATAAGAACATAGTAACATTTTATGAATGGTATGAGACAAGCAACCATCTCTGGCTTGTGGTGGAATTGTGCACAGGTGAGAGGATGATATTTATTTATTTATGAAAAAAAATCTATACCATAATAAAAAAGACTTCTGGAAGCTTACGTAGAATATAATTTTTAAAAATCCATGGTAACATGTAAAACCACAGGTGAATATATAGCAACAATCCAGATGTATTGGCAAATTATCGCCCAGTCTCCAACCTACGCTTTGTGGCGAAGGTTGTTGAGAGTGTGGTTGCACAGCAGTTTCCCCGGCACCTGGAGGAAACGGTCTATCTAGACCCTCTCCAGTCGGGCTTCAGGCCGGGATACAGCACGGAAACGGCATTGGTCACGTTGGTAAATGATCTCTGGAGGGCCCG